TATGTTATGCTATGTTATGTTATGCTATGTTATGTTATGTTATGTTATGTTATGTTATGTTATGTTATGTTATGTTATGTTATGTTATGTATGTACGTACGTACGTAGGTATGCATGTATGTATGTATGAATGTAAGTATGTATGTATGTATGTATGTATGTATGCGTGTATAGAGGTATATATATATATATGTGTGTGTATATATATATATATATACGTGTATAGGTATAGGTACAGGTCTATGTAAACGTATATGTCTGCGCATGCTTATAGCAAATGTTATGTATAAATTGTTATCTGTATATATGTACCGTAACTTTTCTTTATGAGGTACCCAACAAGCATTATGTTTGTATTGCTGTCTGTTCTGGTGAAAGGCATATCAACTGATACTATACTGTGCGAGCTATGCTGTGTTATTTTCTGTCGAGCGCAGAAGGGCTCCCAACAGGCTTGTGAGAACGCAATCCACGAAGAGGAGGTACACTAGGACAGCGAGAAAAGTTCAGAAGCCATAGAGGATACAGTAGCTTCAAGGCGATTAGCGCTGAGTAAATATAAACGGAAAAACTGGCGCCACACTTCCCAAGCGAAGATGACGAGATTACCGCGAGGAATGCCTCGAGAGGCCGATGGCCTTTGGGACTGCGTTCCGATGTGCCAACTTCATGCTTCACTGCAACAGGTCCTTGTCGATTTCTAGCTGACTGCTTGATGTCATTTAGATGCTGTATATTGTTGACATCAAAAGCTTCAGCATCTCCATGAAGTTTTTTCTATATGCATCTTTATCAGCTTCGGCGGTCCAATCTGCTTTGGGCTTGCCTGGCCGCCTTCTGGTGGGGGGCTCTGGGTGTCAATCCGTCTGCTTTGAAAGTAACTTGAACTAGAGGATCTGCTGGGCTGGCTCGCAATACGTCTCCAGAAAGTCTGGGCTTTGCCTTGCGCCTGTGTCCGCAACGTGCTCAAAAAGAACATCCACAGTCGTTTCGTATTTTATCATACATGCTAGCATTGGTCTGTTCTCTGTCTATGAATGTAGGTGGGATGTGTAAAACTCTTCTCAACGATTTGTTCTGGAAGGCATTTAGGGTAGAGAGTCCAGCATCAGTTGGAGCGGACGATGGCATTGAACACTTGGATTTTCCATTCTATGCTGTTGTTAGCTTTGTTCCAGAACAACTTGCTGCGGTTGCATGTAGCTATACAGTCACCCATTCTGTTGTAAACTTCCGCTCTATTGTCGAAGGTGTCTGATGCTATATTCTACTAACTCGTATTCTGTTACATCATACCCTACTATATGATACTGTGCGAAACTATGCTAGTATATGCTATATTATGTTGTGCTAGATTATGCTGTATAATGTTTTTGTATGTTATATTCTGTTTGGATATACTATATGATTGCACCACATTCTGTTGACTTTTATGTATATTCTGATACTGGTACCATACAATATGATGTACTGAAACATAGTCTAACTTAATGTAGATGGTATAACATGTCAAAACACCATATTATCTTGTATTACATTACCAAACGTTGTGTTACAGTATGCTGAGTTCAGTCATGAACGAAGTATGTTACATTGTACTGTATCATATCATACCTTGCTATATTGTTTTATGCTAAACTATATTGTGCTCCCGCCCCGCGGCCTTCGTCCGCCTGCAGCTGGGATCCTGCCTGCACGAAGCGCAAAGCCGGACGTGTCATCTCGCTATTTCGGGATGACCGGTACGAGCAGAAGAAGCCTGGCCATGCGTAATAGTAATAAGAATAATAATAACAATAATATAATAATAATAGTAAAAATAATAATAATAATAACATAATAATATAATATTAATAATAAATTACAATATAATATAATATAAGATAAGGTGATACAATATAAGTGCCCCCCCGGGTTCCCACCGTGAATGCACCTGGGCCTGCTCTTGGAGTATGTAGCGGTGCCGGTCCTGGAGCTGAAATGCTCACGCCGTCGCACCCTGTACGAATTGATTCTTCAAGGCGTGGCCCACAGCTGCACCACAGCACATGGGAAAACCAGTCTTCTTGCAATAGATACCCGATTCACAAGCGAATCCGCCAATGACAAAGCCCGAATCAATCCTAAATCCAGCAGGGCCCTGGTCCCAGAACCCCGAAAGCTGCAGTCTGCATACGCTGAACCGCGGTATGTATGCTCCTACAGCCCTGGCGCTTCAACTCGTAGCCTCCCTGACCCTCAGGTCCCACCTCCTCCCGCTCACCGCTGAGCAGGGCGGGCAGCTGTATCGGCGCTCGATCTCGCCACATCTCGGGGCCCTGTTGGTGCACCTGCCGAACCGGGCTCCCCTAGTACCCAGAGACTCCAATATCCCTTAATTAAGGATTATTCCTTAAATTATAGTAAGGATCCTACTATAAATGAAGGAATATTCCTTAATTAAGGGATATTGGAGTCTTTGAGTACCTCGCACAGCCTCTGACACGCTGTGAACACTGCTTGGCTTTCCGTGGCACTCAACACGATGCAAAATATTCGAGGCGTAGTTAGGCATGAACAGATGCATGCCAACATGTAGACCATCAGACGCTGCATGTTTATTCCGCCGCTAAGACTGCACGGTATGGTGTTGGGTGTGCATATGTGTGCATGTATAAGAAGTCTAAAGTACAAAGCTCTCAACATATGCTTGTGGATGATGCTGATGGTATGTATGTAATGTATGCGCAGCACCTGCTGTTGCTAGATGGGAGTCCAGACTTTGGTGTAGGCCTTGATGGAGCAGGCTTTGTAATCCTCAAGGCTCAAGCGTGACCTTGACCTGGAACCGTGGAAAGGCCGACACATCAGCCAAATGACCTTGAGGACAAAGCCCAAAGCCGGGAAAGCCCTGGCAAGCCATTTCCCCAAGCCGCCCACCTCACACTAAGAGCATGACCCAAACAACAATGACAATAATGCAGCACTTCAATCCTTAACCTTGCCATTCCGGAGTTCGAACACCTAAGTCACCTAAGCACCGTCCCTATGTTGTACAGACATAAACGTTTGTTATCCAATATGAATTATGACATACACATACTGTACATACATGTTGATAAACCAAACCCCAAGCCCGGAGCCCATTCAGTCACCTATAGTCTCAAATGTAGTTCCTTTTTGGAGATACCTGATAACATCCTTAATATGGGAGTTTCCGAAAATGTCGGTACCTTCTTTAGGGGTCTTTATAATAAGGATCCTACTATTCAGGGTACTATATAAGGGTCCCCTATTTTCGGAAACCCCCATATAGAAGTGGTTAGACCAAAAAAAGGAACTACAATGGAGACTATAGGTAGTACCTTTGCCTTTGGCGCCTCAGTCGCACTGAACATGTGCTCTGTCGGCTCCTCGCAGTAAAGCCTCGCCGGCCTCGAAAAATCGCTTCCCTACTCCCAAGCCTTTAGGAGGGTTTAGGGTTTAGGGGAGTGTGCTGTATAGAGATTTAGAGTTTAGGGCTAGCAGGCTTGTGGGTTACGTTGCTTTGTGCTCTTCGATGGCCTTTTGCGATTCAGCGAGTTTTGAGGTTTAGGGTATACGGTATGGGGTTTCATGTACTCTGCTTCAATTCAACAGGGTCCTTGACACGGTGGTGGTGGTGTAGATGCAGCAGACCCAGCCGGACCCAGCCACCAATGCAAAAGCTGCAGCAAGAAACCTAAATCTGAAGCCAGGTTTGATGCGCCCTTTGGAGTAGTTGAGGGCGCGTGACTCACTCGCAGGACCCAACCGTGCGCAACTGAGCGATGGGCAAGATCTGCTTTGGCGTAGCTGCACGGACCACGTCCCACCTGCCACGATGGTTTCGTTTCGCCACACAGCACTGCATGCTCGGAGCTCTCTGGACCCTGCACTGGCTGAACTCAAAAGCGGAGACGGCACGTCTCAGCAGATTGGGATGGTCTCTGGCCACACCTGGGGCAAGAAGACAGCTTAGGCTTAGACCAATCTTAACGACAGGCAGGGGTAGGATGCAGATTTATCATGCGCTGCTTTTATTCTAGACTCTAGGCTCGGACTCGATTGGCATGTGCAAACTCTGAGTGGGGTGTTCTTGATTCGGATAACTCCTTTGCCGAGGTCCTTGTTGTATGTACTGCTAGATACAAGAACTCGCTGTTCACAAGTGCCCGAAAGCCGAGCCCCAGCTTCGAACGACCCCTGCCCAGAAACCCTAAACCCTAAACCCTAAACCCCGTCTTGAGGCGGAGGCCGCACAAGGTACTGCAGCCACTTGTTTGCGGAGACCTCGGCTCACAGTTGTTCCACAGGGAAAGGGAAAGGGCCGAGATTGGGACGATAAACCGCTGGACCCTGCCATCCTACTGCCCCATATTCCCCTAATAACCTACCTATAGTCTCCATTGTAGTTCCTTTTTTGGGTTCAACCATTTATTTATTAAGGATTTTATAAGGTATCCCCAAAAAGGAACTACAATGGAGACTATAGGTAAACCCTGATACCTCTGACACCACAAAGCTTTGAACACCAGCGGGTGTGTTTTTTTGCTGCGCAAGCGGCACGACCGGCCATGATTCACAATGCCCTATAAGACCGCCCTTGCCAGCAGATGCTTAGAAGGGTACTGATCGTATTATTAGGGGTCTATCGTCGGCTTCGTCATGTCTCCACGGTCGAGCCCAAACCGTCTGCTTCAAAAAACTCCGTAAGCTTAGAAACCAACATGAGGCGAACTGCTGTCTGGAGGAGGCCCTCCCTCTTTATTGGGTTGTCGCCTGCTGGGTTTAGGCTTGAGGGTTTAGGGTGGATTCCATGTTCACTGTGACTAAGCTTCTCACGAGGGCGGGACGAGGGCGCCTAAACGCGCCTACGTGACGAATTCCAAGTATGGCCAAGCGCCAGGCTTCAGGAAGCTTCTCTCTTGCAAGTTTCCCGCATGATGCTTGGGCATTCCATGATATCGTCTATGCACCTAGGAGGCCAACACCTTCCTTAAACCTAGTCGTAGATTGAGCAATGTATGAAGACTTGTAGAAGTGGCATGTACAGGAAACTCAGGCTTTAGGAACGGATGTCGTGCATGGGCGCGATGTGCGCCGAGAGAAGCGGAAGCAGAACAAATTCGGAGGAGGCCATGCTTGCCTCAAGCATCTTGAAAAGCAAATTGAGATGGAGAAGTGGGGTTGCGCGGCCTTAGGATTCCCTGAAGGTAGCCGTGTAAATAGAGGTTTGCGGTCGTCAGAAGTGGAATCCCAAATGAGAGCAGACCCCAAGCCGAATCCGAGACAGCCTCGAACGGCTTGCGAGCTCGGGGAGTTTCCGTGGGAAGGCAGTCCATGCCAGGCCGTCTAATACCAATGGCACGCAGTGTGGCGACCGGACATACTCCCGAAACTCCCCTGCTCAGAACTCATCCTACCGACACGGGTCGAGAACGCTTTGCGTTGCGGACGTCATGAACTGGATGCACATGCATGCAGCGGCAAGAGCTGCTACAATATCCGTCTGCTCGGGGTATGATACCTCCGCAACCTTCCGCAACGTGGAACAAACTACTCATCTGAGGATCTCATGCTCTTGCCAGCGAGTTTTCGGGAGCAGGCTACAGGCCCGAATTCCACCAGGGAGTCCAGAAGTCGAGGCCACAAGAACGCCTACAGTACCTCCTATGCATCCAGCCTGAACCCTGCCGGCTAAACTTACACCTCAGCGCGAACTCAAAGCCTCAATCTTAAACCCTAAGCCCTGAACCCTAAACCCCAAACCTAGAAAAACCCAAAGCCCTAATTAGTAAAGACACCTCAAGGCCCTCAACCGGATGATTTGCTCCCACGGGGGAGGAGCTCTCCCCCACTTGAACCCGTCACGATGCCCGGCACCACGGAGTCCATCGAAGCGGTCGACTGCGAGTCGCGCCCATGAGTGGACCCTGGCCTCTGGATCTTACAATTGTCTTACATCATACACTGAATACAGAATAAGGCGCGTGTGAATAATATATATATATATATATAAATAGATGCACACATCATATGTCAAGACAGGTGTACAAGCTGTGTGTACATGACATTTCGACCGATACACAGATTCAGATTGATAGACAGATACACAACAGACAAATCAACAGAAAAATCAATAGATCGATATGTCGATAGATCGAGCGACAGATCGAACGATGGAAGACAGCCAGCCAACCAGCCAGGCAGACAGACAGGCAGACTCTCAGACACACAGATGCGCAGACGCACAGATAGACAGACAGGCAGGCAGGCAGGCAGACAGACAGCAAGCCAGCCAGCCAGACCGACAGACAGACAGAGGCAGACAGACAGAGGCAGACAGACAGAGACGGACAAACCGCTAGACAGACAGACCAACCGACCGACATAAAGGCAGACAGACAGACACAGACAGGCGCAGGCAGACACACACAGACACACACACACACACAGACAGACAGACAGAAAGTCGGGCAGGCAGTCAGACTGACGGACCGACGCACAGAGACAGACAGACAGACAGACAGACAGACAGACAGACAGACAGACCGACGGACAGACAGACAGACAGGCAAACGGACGGACAGACAGACAGACAGACAGACAGACAGACAGACCGACAGACAGACGGACAGACAGACAGTCAGGTAGAGAAATGTGGGGGAGAGAGAGAGAGAAAGAAAGGGAGAGATAAACGGATAGGTAGATGGACAGACAGATTGACAGGTGGGTAAATTCATAGATAGGTTAGATTCGCTTCGATTCAATCGATCGATAGTTAGATACCGATCGATAGATAGATCGATCAGATTTCTGATTGGGGAGTTCAGCCGCGTGCAGATCAGTGTGGATCAAGTGACCTACGAACACCTGTGAACATAGCCCCGTGACCCTTTCAATCGTCTCACACACACTTCAATACATTTGAACATGTGTGCAAACTCTGTATTTCGGCGGAGATCATTCGGACTTCAGGCAAGTATGCATTTAGAGAAGTCGTGGCTGGGTGCCTATTTTGGGGGCCCTCGGTGAAGGCCTCAGGGTTGATGCCGAGTGAAGGAAGCGCAGCTCCAGGTTTTGATCTCCAGCCGCTCCATATCCCCAGTCTTCCATGCCAGTCTGCAAGGACGAAACGAGGCCAAAGCTACGTGGCTTAAGGTTTAGGGTTTAGGGTTTAGGGTTTAAGGCTCATAAGTTAAACCCTAGACCCTAAACCCTAAACCCTCATAAGAGGCTTTGGGTTTAGGGTTTGGGGGGGCTCTGGGGTGTCGGGTGATTCAGCGAGCCGACGGCTCCTTCGCGAAGGGTTTGGGAGCTGTTCTAAAAGACAAAGCGAATTGAATATCTTGATCCAACGGAGGAACCCTAAACCCTAAACCGAAAAAGGGTTTAGGGTTTAGGGTTTGATCCAACGGAGGTACACTGCACTGTAAAAAATGTCATAATATGGAATATGTTAAAAGTCACAGAGGTAATCTTCTTTACAATCCTTTGCTGTGTTTATGAGGTTGTCCTTCGCAGAAACACAGAGTACCAGGGAGACGACTGGGACAATAACTGGCCATGTCCCAACATCTGATCCCCTTGTAGAAAACCGTCTCCGCCTCTCCACCGACCAGCTGGAGGACATTGTCCACTTTGCAGTTGAGCCGTGCTGTGTGCGCCAGAAGCAAAGCCAAGTCGACACCTGAAGCCAACCAAGCCGCAAGCCGGACTCGATGGGGCTGGGTTCAGGAGGAAGACAGCTGTACTGCAATCTCTGCTTCCCTCGTACTCAGACACACACCGGGGCAAACATAATGCAGGGGCCTCACTAATTTTGGCAGGGTTGATACCATAGTGGAAGCAAAGAGAGCCTAAAAGGCGACATTTCTACTAGTGAACTTCAGGGCTCCTTCTTATAGCTATAGTTCAGCATACACCAAACCCCTTCTTCTACCCTTTTGAAACCCAAATCAGCGAATTCCCATCTTCCAAAGGCCCCTATATTACCCCTAATACTAAAACCAGACCCGTCGGTAACCCTATTTTAGTTTGTTTTAAAGGCCTCAGCACGACCTTCAAAGAAAGAATTCACAGGGGCCCCGGCTCTTGGCAGGCCCCTTTAGCCGCTGGCAGCCGGTCATGAAGTCCTCCAGGGAGACCTCGCCACCCAGTCAAGTCGCAATACGGAAACTAGCCACACCGATGCTCAACTAAAACATGACACTCATTCTCAAAAAACAGAGACGATAGCAATGACAAGCAGACCACTGCTATTCGAGACATCACCATCATCACCACTGCCCTCATACTGTAGCAATAGCCCAACGTGCAGGTTGAATTGAAACTTCCCTGGAGGCAGAATCATCACAAAGCGACTTCCATGTGCTAGCTGACCCTCCCCTGACAGGCCGTGGCCTGCCCGCTGTCGTCCACATCGATCAGCTTGAAGAGGCTGAGCAGATCGGTAGATTCGAGCTCCAGCTTGGCCATGAAATGCGACCTCAGCTGCTTTGAAGCTCTCAGGCGGTTCACAAGGGAAGGCAGTACAGTAGCTGGCTGTTAGCAGCTATGGGTGTTGACTAATCCCGGAGCAGAGGCAGCATCCATGGTACATGCGAAAGTTGTCTCAAAATCCAGGCCATGGGGAGCGGAACATGCAGCCTGATGGCATCGTTGGGGTGTTGAGGATCTCCACGAACTCCTCCATGTAAATGTAACCTTCACCTGTTTGCGCACTGCCCGACTGCGCAGACGAAACCAAGACTCGGACCAAGACTACGAACATGTTGGCAAAGCACTGGGGGCCACACCTGACATATCGAGCTTCGTGAACCTCGTATGAATCTTGCTAAGCTCGCTGCAAGCGTGAAGATAGAATATGCAGCTGAGCAACACATCCTTGATCTTTTTCGTGTAGGCTTCAGCCGCACGTGTCTGCTGCTGCAAGAAGAGATCGTTGTCATCTGCTGCCAGTTTCCTGAGGCGCTTCATTGAAACTGAACTGCTGGGCAACGCGACGGGTGCTAGCAGGACCTGTCAGGCTCATAAATTTCTTCTGCCGAGCAACATAGTCTGCTGCACGAAAACTGCACCAACAACCTTAGCGGCTGTCGATGTTGTATGGATATCACTCGGCACCAAAACGAGCTTGCTCGCCGCTGCCACCCGTCATAGCTAGTCACCTAGTCTGTCTTCTGCTTCGTAAGACTAGCTTGGCCAATGTCCTCTCAGATTCTGGCGTTCAGCACACAGAAACCTTGGCTGGAAACGCCGGAGCAAAAACGATTTCGTACATTCTGTGTTGTATCTACTAGTATACACATAAATACGTACATACATACATACATACATACATACATACCTACATACATACGTACTTACATTACATTACATTGCTACACTACACTACATTACATTACATTACATTACATTACATTGCATTACATTACATTACACTACATGATATTACATTAAACTACATCACATACATACATACATACATACATACATACATACATACATACATACATACATACACACATACATACATACATACATACATACATACATGCATACGTACATACACACACACACATACAGACTTGCGTACATAAGTACATACGGACATACGTACATACTACTTTCGTACATACATATGCACATATGTACATATATATATATATATGTGTGTGTGATTGCATGTGTGTATATAATATATACACATACATATCTAATTATACGTTAGTACACACCTACATATATACATATCTACATACAGCTGCACACACATGCGTAGGTGTGTATGTATTTGCGTACGCATGGGGCTATGGGGTGAAAGTAGGCATGCATACATACATACGTCAAGTATAACTACCTTCATATCTAAACTTACGTGCATGCAGACATACATACATGCATGCGTGCATGCATGCACGCAAATGGACATGCGTGCACACATGTGTATACATCTATATACAGATACACGCAGCATATGTAAATGCATACATAGATGCATGCTTGGGTATGTCTGCACGCACCTATGTGTGTTTAAATGTCTGTATGTGTGCATGCATGTATGTATGTATGTATGTATGTATGTATGTATGTATGTATGTATGTATGCCCGTACGTATGTGTATATATATATATATGCACATCGTATATACATATGCTATGCATGTCAAGATGGATGAACGGATGGATGGATAGATGGATGTATGTAAGTATGCTTATGCCTATGCATATGCATGTGCCTTTGTATGTGTAAGTGCCGTACGTGTATATGTCACCATGCATGTCTGTATGCAAGTATGCATGTATGTATATGGATATATGTGAATGCGTATGTGTGCAAGCATTTGTGTAACTTGGAAGACATATGTATGCATGTATGTGTGTATATCTATTAATTATACCTATATATGTATTTGTATGCGTGGGTACATGTGAAGGTACTTCTCTATACATGTACATATGCATGTGCATATGTATATCTGTGTGTACACACATTTGCCTGCGTGCATGTGTGTGTGTGTGTGCGGATTTGTGCATGTGTGCATAGGTCGCTACATTGAGTCCTTGCATCATTGCAGGATCCTTGTTTTGAGTGTGATGTGTTGTACTGTACTCTGCTCGGCATCCAAGAAGGGACCTTCCCTACTTACCTGCTTAGACACAATTCTACATTCATGCATGTTATGCAAGCAAATCCATGCAGGCACATTCATATCTGTCCTGTATACACCCGAACAGATGAATGCGCAACCCTATCACCATATCTATCTACCCGTGTCTGTATCTATCTACCTACTCATCTGTAATCTGTATATGAATACGTATGTATGTGAATATTCGTATATATATATATATACATAACATCCTGCCTGGTCAAGTAGTGTGCCGCCGAGAGTCCCACGCCACAGCGGTAAATGATAAAGAAAATCGAGTACCATTCATCCACATGATCCACAAGGACACGACAAGGGATAGGCCAGTTGGCGAAAATCACTTCCTCAGCTGTGGCAGCTGTAGTGGACATCGGTCCGAGAGCTTCAGGGCTTTAAGCATTAGGGCTGTCCGCCGCGCGACTTAGCATGTGACAAGCTAGCTGTAGCCACCAGGACGCAAACATCGTCAGGATGGTGTAGCTGAATGTGCCATAATACCTGTCCGGGGCAGTATCAGCTTAGGTGCTTAAAGGGTTTTTTGGGCAAGGGATTGGGGCCGTTGAATATATGCAAAAAGGCGCCCACCTGTAGATCAGATGACGCACCTCCTCTGACTGCGAGGCATCTCGTTCCAGATGATCCATTACCAGGTACCCAATGATCATACCTAACAGGGTGCTTGCGGTCAAAAGAAACCTGTATTACACGTCATGTACTGCGCGTGTACGAGCTGCACACGCGTATGTGTGTGTGCCCGCATGAATGAGTATGTGCGCTATAGATAGGTAGATGGATAGATGGATAGATAGACCGGTAGATATGCGTATATATATATATATGTATACATACATACATACGTACATACATATATATATATACATACATACATACATACATACATACATACATACATACATACATACATACATATGAAACATAAATATTCATATACATATATATATATATACACGTATACACACATGTATGTATATACACGCAAACATATATACAAATGTACTTAGATACACCCACATTGACATGTACATACTGCATACATGCAAGTATGATGTACACAGCAACATACAGGCTGCGACAGTGCCCTGGATGTGCGACTGCAACCTACTCCTGCAAAACTCAGGGAGTTTCCCCTGAACCTGCAGACTGTGTTCGCGAGAAGCCTTCAACACAGCAACGTCTAAATGCCTGAATCGCGTCGTGCACATAGCTTAGAGTGAATTCAACATCTAGGTGAGGCCGCGTACTCTCTTTGCGATAAGGCGGCCAGCAGTGCATTGTATGACGCCGATGAGCAGCATGGACCAAAGCAACATCGAGAAGCTGGCGCCAATACTCTTCAACCTGACCATATGAAGGTGATTGGACAGTTCGTCTCCACACAACCACATGGCGCTGTTGAGGAATCAGAGACTGTTTCGCATAAGTTCGCAAGTGTTACTGTAGCACTCTTCTCCTTGATTCTTGCGAAAGAAACACTTGCATGAGACCCTGAAAAGCATGCTATCGTTCACGCACCCCAAGCCACGGAAGCGAAGGAAACATTTAAGTCTAAGCCAATGCCGCGTGTTTTCAGGAGCTTTTTTCTCCGAGGAGCAGCAAGTGAAGCGAGTCCATGACCCTGGCCATTCGCACCACCCGGAGACCGCGTGCGAGCTTTGCCAGGCGCACCAGCCGCAAAACCTCGCCGCAGGCTGCGTGCTCGCAGGCTCTACCCCTACGTAAGTCTACATCGCAGACCTCTTCTCCTGCTCCTGTCGAACTGTTGGAACTGCTGTTGGAAGCTTCACCCGAAGTTCGAGTACTTCGGTCCTACATCACGCCAAATGCCACACGTCTGGTTCAGAAGTCTTCTTCACACGCCAGGACATGTTCGTAAGACTGACGAACGAAAGACGCTCAGACGTGCCGGGTTGTCGGACCCGTTGATCTGGGTCAATGTCACAGCTCAGCATCGGGAGACAGGGCCTGGGGGTTTGGTCGGCTTGGGTTTCCAGTGCTGTGATTGGTACCATTGTCGTTGCGACTGGTGTGGCCAGTAATGCTTCTCTGGCTTGTTTACTGTCCTTCCTTGGCTACTACAAGTATGTATTGAGAAGGATAAACACTCAAGGCTTCATATCATGAGAACACTTAGAGCACCGATTTTTATGATTGCTGCAAGGATTACGCTTCGTGACAGCGGCGCCTTTGCTACAATCGGTCGCCTTCTTTCAGACTCGAACATGTGAAAATACCGCTTCCCCTCCTCGTCCTCCTACAAACTCCCGCTCTTCCTCCTCCTCCTCCTACTGCTGATGCTCTTGCAGGTACTTCCATGATTTCTATTATCATGCTGCCTCTTAGAAATTGTCGGCTACTGCTATTCTGATTCTGATTCCCATTTTGACCACCACCCTTTCGGATGATTTCTAGCATCAGACTTCTGCTCCTAGACCTGCTACGACCACTACGACTAAACTGCCAATACCACTGCCACCTTCGCTACAAAAAAAAAACCGACTTCCGACTCCTAGGTTGCGCTCTCCACGCTTCTCCGAGGGGCGGTGGAGGAGCCGGGCCTGGGTGTCTTCTTCCTAGCTGATATAATGTAGGGGCCTTAATAATTAGAATAGGGTTTTGGGTTTTGGGGTTCATTACTATCTAAGGGTTCCGGGCCCTCTAGTAGGCTTGAGCCTCCTTGGTGTTTCGCTGTGGCGCTAAACGATCCTGTGAAGGCTTAGGCTGAGGGTCAGGGAATTCGGGTCTGCGGGCTTAGGGTATTGGGGGGACGCTGATGGGTTCTGAGTCCAGGTTTGTAGTTTCTTGGGCTTTTTGGGTTTCGGCACTATTCGGCCAAGGGCTCCGGGAAACGGCCACTGCAGGTCTTTATCCTTGTCCTAACCTTCGGGGAGTCTTGACACCTCTGAATCCAAAGAAACTCCCGGGTAGGTTTCACGGCCAAGCGAGGCTTAAGACCTAAGAGTTCTAAGAGCTTTCAGGTTAGGTGCTGGGAGGCCTAAGCCCTCAACCCCAAAGCCAAACTAAGCAAAACTATTAACCATACATATATATATATATAGATATAGATAATTATATGTTATAATATATATATATATGTGTATGTGTATATATATATATGTATAGTGATATACAGATGTATGTGTGTATGTATATAGAGATGTACATGCATATATATATATATATACACATACATATACATATATATATATACATATACACATACATATACGTATACATACACCTAGGTATATGTATATATACATGTACATATACATATACATATCCATATACATATACATATACATACATATATATATATATATATAAATAGATAGGGATCTGGACCGAGCGGGGCCAACAGCGGACCTCTGCATTGCTAGAACCCCAAGTGCTTAGAGCACGCGGCAAACATCCTGCCACATTCGCCCTCCTGGCACCGTCGCCTAAGACTGCAAAGGTCGAAGGCACGGCGATCTGTTCACTCCGCAAGGGCCAAAGGCTTGGCTCCTCCGAGACGGGCGCTCCGCCTGCTCTCGGCGCACCACAGCAAGCCGGCATACCGCGAGTGCAGAAGGCCCATGGGGAGGGGCAAAGCTGGATGGCAGCAGCAGGGAAGCCAATGGCGAAGCCAACACTGGGCTGGCGACAATGGATCCTATGGCTGGCGACAGCAGCCGCAATCTTCTGCGCCGGAGCGAGACCGAGATCGGGCGTACTCGCGCAGATCCAAGGACGAGGAGCCCTCTTTCCCATCGTATGCCATGATGGCGGCGGAGGACGACAGTGCGAAGCCGGGTCCCGCCCGGCCGGAGGAGTCGCGTGGAAGCCAAAGGGTCGAGCTGGCCAAGGGCTACCAGAAGCTGGTGACAGTGGTCCGCAGAGCCGAAGTGAAGCTTCGCAAGGCGACCGAGGAGCGCGAGGCAACCCAGGCAAGGTGGCACAAGTTCCAGGACAAGCTCCAGCAGGCCTTCATCAAGGAGCGTGGCCAGTTCAAGAAGGACATGTCCCGCCTCGACGACGAGATCGAGCAGCAGCAAGCACTGCAGGGAGAAGCGCTGCAGGAGCTGCAGACGGCGATAGCCAACCCCGGGATGCTGACCAAGGAGGTGCCGAGCAAGGCAGTGATCCCGGAGGACGCCCTGGAGGATTGGCAGAGCCTCATGGACAAGTGCGACGGCGAGGAGGACGAAGAGATGGCGGAGGACATGGCGCGGCGCCTAGGCCGCCAGCTGCAGGAACTCCTTGGACGGCACCTGTCTACCCCGCCAAGGAGAATGACTACCAGTGCACCGCGAACTCCGCCATGCCCGACGACGAGAACGACTCGGGGAGACATGAAGTCCCTGGACCGGTTCATGGACAAAGCCCTCGCGGTCGCCAAGCACCAGCAGGAGGCGGCATACCTTGGTGCCACCGGCGCTCCAGTGACTCAGGACCCCTATGTCACCTCACCGGGCACCAGCAACGGGGCAGCGATCATGGAGGAGTCCACCCGGCGAGCGAGAGGATCTACACCGCGCACCGGGATCAAGATGAAGAGCCGAGCCCCGATGCCCAGCCCCAAACCGGGTACCAACCTTGCGGACAAGCTCGATCAGGCGAGAGCCAAGGCCTCGGCTGCGGACGGCGCGCAGCAGATCACCGACGACGAGGACATGTCAGAGTCCGAGATCTTGACCGAGCTCGCGGCGCGCACCCCAAAGGGCGAGGCGAAAGGAAGTGGAGGAGCGGGATAGGCCTGCCCTCCACGATTGGGGACCAGGCCTGGGCGTTTGAAGGGACCAGCCTGGTCTCGCCATCTATGACGCCCGGGCGACGAGGAGCAGACGCTCCCCTTTATGAACGGCGGCACTATGGGCCTCCCGGAGTGGAGGATGCAGCGCTGCATATTACAGCAGGACTTTTTCGGTCAGTTCCTGCAGTTTTTGAGGTGGAAGCTGATGAGGAAAGGCCCGGCGGGGAACCTCATCTTAGAAGGAAAGAGCCCAAGATCTATGACTTCATGGACTGGTGGGCTGAATTGAATGGTCTCTACAGTGGTGCTGTGGAGACGCGGGCCCAGGCATGGGCTCACACATGCCGAGGTGTCGGAGCCTCACTCCTGGCAATTGGCTTTGTGGCCCTGGTGCAGACACTCATGGGACAGATGCTGCCTCGAGGACGGGCTCGAAGGCTGACGAAGTTCGGGGGAGCGCCGAGGTGCATATGCAAAGCCTTCATGCTCTACATGGTCGCGGGACATGTTGGTGCAGTCAAGGCCCCCCCGCTGACGACTACCAGTAGGGGGATCCCGCTACCGAGTGACCTGGAGACGTGGATGGCTGGGCAACAGACCCTCCGCGAGCAGATGGAGGCCGCAATAGCCCGATGGGCCATGGACCGGCCTCTTGAACACAACGCGGGTGTGACCGCTACGCCAGCCTTCCAGGCCAGACCTCCGGGAGCCCATGCCGAAGTAATGCAGCCCACCATGGACGAGCACACTATACACGCAACTTTCTGGTTTGGAGCTGCTTTCTATGAAACCGAGATCATCGACGTGGAAATGCCATTCCCACTGGCAGTCGGGCAGATCAAGGAAGCCTTAAAGGGCGCGGCGGCGGTGGTCCCGGACCAGTTCGACGACATCTACCCGACCACCCCGCAACTTGACGGTTTCTACGGCAGCTTCATCGCGCAGCCTTCTTGGCTGCGCAATACGGATCGGTCCGCGCTGGTGATGGATACCAGACCGATAGGTGGGACTGTCTTTGTGTGCTACCTGGAGGGACGCATCAACCGTGCCGGAGTGATGAAGCAAATCCCTCAATTCCTTGACCAGGAGGTTGACATCTATACCTTTGGTGGCGACACCCCCCTACGACAAGGGAACAGCCGCCAGCCTGTCATTGGAGGGGTCATCAGGGTGGTCCCTAGAGGACATCCGTGCCAATGGTCGGATAACATCGAGCAGCGACTTCTGCACCGCCACCGCTGGAACCAGCACATGGACCCCCCGACCTGCCTCGAGGAGCTGCATACAGTGTACCAGTCTGCAGACGACCAGGTCATCGAAGAGATCGACGCCGATGACATCGAGCCCCTGGAAATCGCTGCTGAAAATGCTCTTGAGTGGGAGCACGGTGAGACACTGGTCTACCTCCCGGACAACAGGGTGGAGAGGTTGGCTCACGGCGGCAGGCGAATCTTTGAGCAGGTTGCTGTCATGCCGGCAACAGCCATAGAAGGCGAGGAGCCATGTATCGTCTTCGTGGACCTACGACCGCTCACCTACTTCCCTCAGTGGTTCCAGGCAGGATCGGGGATCTTCGACCCCAAGTCCTACATTCAAGATCTTCAGATACCTGGTACAGATGAGTGGATTTTGGCGATACAGGGTGGAGCCCCCCACCGGCGAGATCTACTACGAGTGCGGCACCAAGAGACGCTTACAATGTGGTTCCAAGAGTCCACTACTACATCGGAGGCATCTGGCCATGACGACGGCGACGGCGGGGAGGATGATGACTCCTCGGACGACTCAGGGGACCCCATCCCTGGATCGAGCGAATTCAGTGACGACACAGTAGTCCTGCAACCGGGCGATCCACCACGGGGCCCTCCGCCACCGCTGCCAGTTGACAGGAGCAGGTCACCGCGGCGACGTTCCCAGGCCCAGGACGACGAGGCTGAAACACCTGTGGACCCCGAAACCACAGGAGCCTGCCCTATCAAGCTCCGTGAACTGCTGGACCCGCCCTGCTACGACATGACACAGAACTATGTCGGTTTTCCACACAAAGCAGAGGATGTCAGTAAGCTTCTAGCTGCCTGGCCTGCCAGAGATGACCCAGCCAACCTTGACAAGGTCACCTTCAAGACGGAGACTGTGGAGGCTATGAAGACCCTCACCTCCCCCGCGGCGCTCTGGAAGAGCATGCCGTCTGGTGTCTTGCCAGATTTGCACATCTATACAGATGGCTCCTGGTGCGAAACAAGGAAGCTTGGGGGCTACGCTGTGGTGGCGTTATTGGTCACAGCCGGCGCCTCTGCCCTCTGTGAGACCATTGGAGCACAAACGCAGGGGAACTCCACAACGGCATGGACCTTTGAGGCGACGCCGGCCCTCAAAAACGAGCAGATTGCCATAGCTACGGCTTTGCTCTGGCTGCTCCAGGGGTGCAACTACGTCCACTTTGGACAGATCGTTCTCTTCTTCGACTGTTACGCTGCTGGATGGCCGGCCGAGGGCACCTGGAGCCCCGTCAACGGCTTCTCGGAGAAAATCCGTGTGCTGGAACAACTGCTGAGTCGACTCTTACCAGTACCCATCCAGTTCGCCCACACTAAAGCTCACGCAGGGAACCCTTTCAATGAAATGGCGGATGTTCTCGCGAATCATGCTGCTCGGGCGACCATCCACATGCAGGAGCCACCACCCGCAGCGGTTGACATACTGCAGCATTGTGATCTGAGTTGGCTCCCCCTCATTTTCTCGGGGGATACGCTGCCTATCCGGGCAGGCCAAGGCTTTGCTTGGGCACAGGACCACAAATGGGACCACTCGACGTTGAAGCCCGAGCAGCTGATCCCTACCCAGGGCAATGGAGCTACACAGGCGTGCGAGAAGCTAGAGACAAAGATCCTCAGTTTGAACGCCCAGACACTCAGTGGGAAGAGCCGCTACTTCGAGGACCAACTTGACCACCTCGGCTACAACATCGCCTGCTTCCAGGAAACCAGAGGAGCAGCTGGTCTTTGCGCCAGCAAGCGCTACCTCCGATTGGCTACCTCCTCGGCCAAACATTGGGGAACAGCGATCTGGATCAGCAAAACCAGGGGCATCTGTAGTCGAGATGGCCGGCCATGCATTGTACAAGCAGAGGATATTTTGCTCATACATGAAGCGCCTAGACTCCTCATACTGTCAGTCAAGGTGGCGGACAGACAGGTGCTGCTCGTGTCGGGACATTGCCCGCACTCGGCCCAACCTCGTGAGGCCAGCGACTTCTTGCATCGGCTTCAGGCTCTGCTACAGCCGTATCGTGAAACGGCGACAATCTTCATGGGCATCGACCTCAATGGGAGGATCCCAACGTGTCATGAGGGAATCACTGGAAGCCTTCGGCATGGTGACGCTGACGAAAATGGCCGTGGCATGCTCTCCGTGGCCAAGGCCATCAACCTGTGGTTCCCGTCCACTTTCTGTGAGTTCCACCAGGGTACTACCACCACGTATCGCCAGGCCAATGGAGCGGACCACCGCATCGACTACATTGGTACTGGTGGAACTATGGAGATCCGGGAGATATGCAGCTGGGTGGAGGAGGACTTTGATGTGGCCAACACTAATGAGGACCACTCCCCGGTGGCCATCGACATCACGGCCACATGGACGACGAAGGGCCATGCCCGACGGCTGCACAGGCCCAAGTACGACACCGAAAAGATGCTCACTGCGGAGGGCCGCAGGAAAATCACCGAAGCCCTGCGACTATACAGCCCGCCTGGATGGCAGGTGCACCCTGACGATCATTGCCAGCATCTTCAGGACTACCTTCACGCCGTGATGGCCAAACACTTTGCTATCACTGCGGGCGGCCCACGCGCCACCTACATCAGTGACAGCATCTGGGAACTACGGCAGCGGAAGTTAAGCCTCAAGTATAAAGCCCGCCATCGGCGCCAACTCTGGACGGCCTTGACATCGAGAGCCTTTCTTCAGTGGAAAACTGACAAAGACTATGGTGTGGCCAAGCTCTTAGCCAAGCAAGCCATCCTCTATGACATTGTGGCCGGAGCCGTCCGATGGGCAACCAATCGGATCAAGAAAGGCATCTACTTGGCAAAAGCCCAATTTCTCCAGGGCCTGGTCCACCAGGAGGGAGACAAGGCCTGCGACGTCCTCCGCCGAGCCAAAGCAGCAGGGGTTGGCGGCAGACAAGCGCGGCCTGTGGTGAGACCCCTCCCAGTGCTCAAGGACGCTGATGGAAAGCTCGCCGAGTCCTGGGAGGACAGAGACAAAATCTGGCTGGCTCACTTTGGGCAACAAGAGATGGGCTACGTGGTGGCGACAGAGCAGTACCTGAAGGAAGGTGGTCAACAGGTACTTTGTGACGAAGAGATCCCGTGGTGCCCCAAGGATCTTCCTACCCTACAGGAACTGGAGGAGGCATTGCGGCGAGCCTCCAGGCGAAAAGCTGTGGGCTTGGACGGACTGCCTGGGGAGATACTGGCTGCTGCCCCTCCGAGCATGGCGGCGGCTGTATACCCTCTGGTTTTCAAAAGCATGGCGGCACTTTGCCAGCCAGTACAGTGGAGAGGTGGAATTCTTCAGGAATCTTGGAAGAGAGCAGGGCCGACAGATGACCCGCAGAACTACAGATCACTGTTTATCTCTTCACAGCTGGGAAAGTGCTACCATCGGCTACTACGAAGGCGCGCGGCTCCACACGTTGGTGCTGCCCTTCACGAGTTTCATCTCGGCGCCAAGCAGCGAGCCCCGGTCCTCTATCCGGCGCTGTACGTGCACGGCTTCCTCCGGCGAGCGCAGCACCTTCAGCACTCGTCTGCCATTTTGTTCATCGACACAACCGCCGCATATTATAGAGTCATTCGCGAGCTCTCGGTTGGACAAGTTGCAGACGACGGTGCCGTGGCTCAGGTTTTCAAATTCTTTGACCTGGCCCCTGAGGATGTCCACGAGTTTGCCGCGCTCATACGTGAGGGAGGCATGATGGGCGATGCTGGGATTCCTGTATCGCTACGGCACATGGCCAAAGACCTGCTGCACCGCTCCTGGTTCATCACCAGGCATGGTACGGACACCCAGCTGTGTCGCACACATGCTGGATCCAGACCGGGAGAAACATGGGCCGACATTGTCTTCTCCTTTGTCTTGAGCAAGATCCTGACCCAGATTATGGAAATTGCCACTGCGGAGGACCTCCTCACGGAACTGGATGTGCGGCCAGAACAGGGCCCCTTTGGTGACACCTCCACGACTGCATCGCTGCCTGTAAAGCTGCTTGCCAAGGACTGCACTTGGGCTGACGACACGGCTGTGCCATTGTCTGATGCTAGTCCTTCGGTGCTAGTTGCCAAGTCTCGGCGGCTAGCCTCAATTGTGCTCGACTACTTCATCAAACATGGCATGCAGCCAAACCTCAAGCCACGGAAAACGGCCTTTATCATGGCTGTGAGGGGCCGTGGGGCCAGAAAGGTACGGCAGGCATGCTTCGGAGGAGGGTCGCGTGCACTTACCTTGAGCGACCTGGACCTCAAGGTCACCATTGCGGGCCACTACATACATTTGGGTGGCCTGGTCAACCCGGACATGCGGATGCAACAAGAAGCCAGACGACGACTGAGCATGGCAAAGGCGGCCTTTGACTCAGGCAAGGCCCTTCTCTTCGGGAACGAGACGATCCCTTTGCAGACCCGAGCCTCGCTGTTCAGTACGTCGATCACGGCGACCTTCTTCAACCTTGCCCTATGGACAAGAGAGAATACGGCATGGGCTATCCTGGATGCGGGTTTCTCTCGGCTCCTTCGAGGTCTCCTGGCCAAGCGGTACAAAGGAGACATGCTCTACAAGGTGGCAACCCCTGCAGTGCACATACTCACGGGTGTGCCTACTCTGGAGGCCCTGGCAAGAAAGGCGAGAATCAGCCTACTCTGCAGTATGTCACAGAGGACCTTGCCTGGCTGACGTCCAGCGGAGGACAGTGGCCTACATGTGGAGCTGGTGACTGGCACCGCTGGCAGCAGCTCATGCGTGACTCTACGGCATGGGTTAAGCGGCGTGTGCAGGCCCTGATGGCAAAGGACACAGCCCGCAGCAGCAAGGCGTACCGCACGGCACTTTGCCACTGGGCGATGCTGCGAAGGGCCAGAGCGAGAAGGCCCATCGCGACCCAGGCTACTAGGGACTGGACTTGTCGGCCTTGCGGAAAGCGCCTTCGAACGAAGGCGGCACTCGGAGCACATTTCTTCAAGGTACATGGTCGCTGCGCAAAATACCGCGCGGTGGTTGCTGGAACCTACTGCGGAGCCTGTGGCAAGGAGTTCTGGGCCCGCAACAAGCTAGCTATCCACCTACGTGATAACCAGCAGTGCGCCCGAGTACTACACCAGGGAGGATACCGAGTTGCCTGCACAGCCCCCGGGCTGGGCAGCAGAGCATGGCGCCAACAAGCGGAGGAGGACTTCACTCTGGCAGTATCCCAACAGGTGCGAGACCCGTTACCAGCCGAGGAGCACCAGGTGTGGGACACTACCATGGAGCGAGCCTACGCGGAGCTATGCGACTCACTGCAGACAGAAGGCCTGTCCACGATGGTGATCGACATTGTCACGCAGATCCAGGCGGTCTTTAAGCAGTTCCCCCTCTACATGTACGAGATGGCGGAGATTGCGGCACAGACAGCCACAGAAGCCCGAGAGCTACGGAGCGTTGGAGTGGCGGACTACTGGAACGACGATGTCTTTCAGTCGCTCTGTACAGCCCTGGAACACTTCGAAACCCATCCATGGAAGGACAGCCCCCTGAGCGACGGCGAGCCAGAAGTGACTACGCTCAGGACCTTCCTACACGAGGTTGAGAAGGTGGACTGGACAGCTCTATGCCCGTATTTGAAAGACGTGACCCCTGATGCTAGCCTTAGCCTGTCGGACGACTGGGAAGTTGCTTTGTTGTCGGATAGTAGGCTAGCGGAAGCAGCAACCGTCGACTCTTCATACTGGCTTTTACTCCCAGAACAGCTGCGGAAAGCCTGGGATGCCGCCCTTGAGGGGCGAGCCGTACAGCTCAGCGCTCCGTCCTCTTTCTGGGACCACCCGCTCTCTCTACCCTTCGGGATGTTGAAGAGAGCTGTTGCAACTTAATTAGGCTGCGAACAACCTCTGATCGCCCGCAAACCGCAAATATAAATAGATATACACATGTATATTTTCACATATATATGCATACACAGCATCTAGTGTGGGGTATCCGAAGCTTCAGGCCCGAGTCCTCGAATCTAAGATGATTTCCGTAACCAAAAACTCCCGTAAGGGTCCGTGGGTTTAGGGTTTTAAGGCTTTTAGGGCCCGAAAGACTGCAAAGGAGTCGAGTTGCATTGAGGAGGCTAACAGCTCGAAGATGGAGAAGAAGACCACCGAGAAGTCCAGCCAGTTCCTGAGCCAAGACCAAAACACGATCATCTTTCTGACAAAGACCAAAAACACAAATATGTATATACACATATGTATATATATATATATATGTGTATATATATATATACATTATATATACACACACCCAAAACCCTACTCCCTAAACCCTATGTATACATACATAGAGTGTGTTAAATCTTTATATAACGCATTCTACCAGGGTAACTACGCAGTTTAATCCTCTCCGAATTTCGGGTGTTGGCGCCTCGGGCTCAAAGCCATGAGGTTTGAGAAACTTGTTGGGGCTTAGGGTTTAGACTTTAGGGCTTAGGGTTCAGGGCTTCGGGTTTAGGGTTTAGGGCTTAGACTTTAGGGCTTTAAAGGGTTCAGGGCTTAGGTTGCTTTTTGAGGGCCTTTTTCCACCTCGCGACAGGTCACTTAGGCTTAGGGTCTAGGGCGAACTTCCTGGTTACGTGAGCTCAGGATCTGGGTTGCAATGTAGAGGGCCATCCCAGGAGCCTCCCTGTACCCTCAAACCGGGGTTTTGTGGTCCCAGATGATGGGAAGATGGGGTCCAATAGAGGGTAAAATGTTGCAATGTAGAGGGCCAGGGACCCTCCGAGTCTACTAGAGGGTAAAATGGAGGGTCTGGGTCGAAAATTTCAGGATCACGGCTTTGACTACCGTTTCGGGAGACCTCCAGGTTTTCTGACAGCGGCATGAGGGGAGCAGTTCCACATGGATGGACCGGAGCAAGAAGATGGCGGCAAAGTCCTATTAATATATTAATGTATTATTCGTGTTATTCTTGTTATTATTACTATTGTTTTTAGTATTCTTGTTATTATGATTATTCTTATTATTAATGCTATAAAGTCGGCCCCCGGCTTCCAAATTGCAACCCTCTCCCTCAGAAAAACAGACAAAACCTCGATCCAGATGCAGGATCATGAACCACTGAACTTCACGAACTACATCCGAATGTGAGCCACGGCTCAGCGCAAGCAGGAAAAAGGAGAGTCGGTAGACCAACCTGGGCTGAACACCGAATGGGAAGCAGCTTGACTGCCTTTGAGCTCTCTGGTGGAGTCCCCGGGCTGCCCGACTTTGGGGCTGTGCCGCGTTGCTTTTGGAGGGAGGTCTTGGTCAGAGGTAGAGAGACCGGAGAGACAAAAGGGACAGACCCACATCAACAGTAGAGAGGCTTGAGACACCTCGTTAGGTCGGGTCCCAGGTAGACATGTTGGTTCGCTCTTGAATCTAGCCTCTGATGACTCCCAGCCTCTGATACACAAGTGTGTCTGAACCATGCGCAACTGCACAACGAGAACTAGGCATTCTCCCAGCATGGTCGTTCTGGCCTTGCCAGGTTTTACAGACATGCGGTTGCCTCAAGAGCAGGTGGCACAAACGATCAGCAACACATCTGCCTGCTTCCCAAACTAATCGCGGCGAAAGCACAGCCGCAAGAACAGCTCAAGGAAGAACACAATAGTGAAGGCTTTGTCGATGTGCGTAAGGGCTTCCTGGCCGCCTGTTTGCAAGAAGCCGTGAACCCTCTGGACGAGGCTTCCATTCGGATGGTCCCTTTTTATCGATGTGAAATCAAAACACTCGCCGTGGGTGATACAAGTACTGGATCCGGACATACAAATATGCAAGCATGCAAACATTGTCACAGAACGTGTGTGGGCATTCAACTGCTCATGTGTATGTATGTACGTATGTATGCATGTAAGTATGCATGCATGCATGCATGTATGTATGTGTGAGAATGTACTATATGTAGATGTGTATGTATACGTAAAGGTATATTTGTGTATGTACATATACATATACACACACACATACATTACATACATGAATACATGAATACATAATGAATACATAATGAATATACAATGAATACATAATGAGTACATGAATACATGAATACATACATACATACATACATACATGCATGCATGCATACATACACAAATACATACATACACACATACACGAATACACACATACATACATACATACATACATACATACATACATACATACATACATACCGTTACGTTACGTTACGTTACATTACATTACATTACATTACATTACATTACATTACATTACATTACAGTACAGTACATTTCCTTACATTACAACATTACACTACATTACACTACATTACACTACATTGCACTACATTGCCCTACCCTACACTGCACTACATTACGCTACATTACGGAACACTGCATTACACTACAGTACAATACAGTACATTACGTGATGCTACGCATGTATATATGTATATATGAAATTTCGATGAACGAACGAAAAAAGATCAAGTATAGGTATGTACGGAGGTACGTCGGTAGCAAGGTGTGAGTGTGTGAGGTGGCGTGTGAGTGAGTGCGTGAGACCGTGCATGTCTGTGTATTCGCTTGTCACTGTATATACATATAAGTGTGTATACGAATATCCATATTTGATATATATCTGTCCGTTTGCTAGCTAAACTAATCCTCTTTCAATCCTTCAGCATACATCTACACCTACCTACCTACCTACCTACCTACCTACCTACCTACCTACCTACCTACCTACCTACCTACCTACCTACCTACCTACCTACCTACTACGTATGTGTGTGCTATGTATGTCCGTATAGCGTCATGAATCATCTACGGCTACATGGCTCTGGAGATCATGGCAATCCTAGCAACAGACTCTTGAACCCCCTCGCCGTACCTCAAAACCCCAAAGCCTGAAAACCTAACTCCAAAACAACCCAAAGCGTTGGATAGTTGCCTACAAAATGCTACAACATCCTGCAACTACTCTTACTAAAGCATTCCCATGCATTCCCTAGGCCATAGAGCTCCGCTTCTGAAAACAGAAAACCTCATATCCACATAGCAGGACTCTGCAAAAGAACAAACTGAAACGATGGAGAATGTCGACTCCCAGTTAGTATAGGGGGTAGGAATAACAGTAATAACATTGAGCAAACAAGAGTAATAGTAACATTGGATGATTATAGTCAGACATTATGACAATGACACTAGTAATGACCGTAATTGTAATAACTGACAGAATCAATAACCGACAACGATAATAACGAACAGAATTAAAAAAAACTGTCAGAAAAACAATAAAACTATGATAATTTTAAACACGACAACAACGATAATAATAATAGTAATGTAGTATTACGCCTGGCCAAATGTCTTCCGCTTTGCTGGTCATCCTCGGGTAGAGGATGGTGTAGCCAAGATCCAAGCCGCGGTACTGCCTGTGCTGGGGCTTCAGAGGGGTTTCTATGGATTCCATAAAGGTTCTGCAGGGATATGTGAGGATTCCAAGGTTTTTAGGGATCTTGACTCGTGTATAGTTACGTGGTTTCAGGTTGATCAGATCAAGTAAGGGAAGCTGTAGCTTTCTCGCGGTGGAGCATTCCGACCTCACGCCCCTCAAGAGCTTGCAAAGAAGTTATTGTGCGTGGGCCGGGTCACGCAGCACAGCACATGACCACGACATTGCAGAGGATCAGGCCAGAGACGAACATCTCAAAGAAGTCCTCCGTCGTTGTGGCGTGCTGGGTTACGTCAGGTGAATAGTTCGGGTGACTATCAGCTCTTCGGAGGCAAGTTAAGCATGTTCAGCGTGACGTGTGACAGGACCAGCTCAAAAACAAAAACCATTTCTTCCGGACACTGGTATCCGTCGTGCATCAACCTGCCCAGGTCCTAAACCCCAAGACTCAAACCCAAAAACCATGGCAAATCCTGCGACCGCGGCCTCGGAGCCCGAAGCCCCTCTAGAATCCCTGGTAGAAGCAGGGGTCCGTCTCAAGTATCTGCTTCGTTTTGTTGCGGACTCTCTCGGCCCAGCTGCAGCATGACTGCTGACCACCTGCCGCTTTGTGCTGTCGGGAAATTGGCCCACGACAACAACAACAACCACAACAACAACAACAACAACAACAACAAGAACAAGAACAATAACAATCTCGAGAGGGGACAACTGGACCTTGACAGCATGTTTCTTTTTGCGTTTACAGTTTGGAATTGCTTCAGACTGGGGTTTGGGACACGCTAGTCGCTGTATTCGGCTTGGTAGGGTTTTTGCGGGGGAAGTAGGAGATTGAAAGTAGCCCTGGCGAACATACCGGAAATATCACGCCTGTCACACGAAACAGTGTTCGACACAGGATTGGAAATCTACTGAAGCAAGCCTTTGTGTGATATGAGGTGAGATGATATGAGATGGTAGGGGAAGGTATGGGATGGAATGCGATGATCTGAAATGATATGAGATGATATAACATGGTATGGGATGGTATGAGATGATATGAGATCCAAACTGTAACCGCAAAAAAAAAAACATGGTGTCAACTTTCGCGACAAGAAGCATCTTTCGTGTGACGGGCGCAGTAGATTCGACATCAACTACATGCACACGATCATGAAGAACAGCAACAGGGAGACAAGAGTACTGAATCTTGAAACAGAGAACGTCATCACCCCACCCCTCTGCAGAACAAGCCAGCACTGGGCGCAGTTATCCCCCCTCCTGCAATAACAAGAACAACCACGGCAACAGCAACAGCAACAGCAACAACAACAACAACCAAGGCCTTCGATGCTGACTGCAGTGTGCGACTCGTCCTCCTCCTTCAGGTTGCTTGGGTCAAGGCATACATGGCTCTGCCGTGGCAAAGGTTGAGTTGCGGAATCATCCGAAACAGGTTCTCGCTTCGCATGTTTTTCATGACGGAACTCCTGCGGGAATCAATCATCGCATGCATCATCCACCATGATCGTACCAAGATGGACCGCCCGTTTCAGCTTTGTTGCACAAAGGTAGCATTTCAATATCTAAAGGCTGCTACTCCTCCAGAAAGACATTTCAATCGAAGCTTCAAACAAGGACTTGTCACTCGGCGTATCGAACCAAAGCGTCCTCGCTCTCGTTCAGCGCCTCTTGGAACATTGCCTCCATCTCCTGCTTGCTCGGACCCTGCGTGGCCTAGTGGTCCCTACTTGCCCCAAGCTCGACCCCATGTAGGCAGCAGAGTAGGCGCTTACAATGAAACAACCTTGCCGGGTCACGAGAGAAGGAAGGAGCAGGTTGTGCAAAGCCCTTCCCTCGTGCCTCGGGCGACTTGTCGAAGAACAGGGTCCGGCGTCCTCTGCCTGCTTCTGTTGCGAACCAGTGAGCCCGAACTTGGAAAAATGAAGCTGAGGGGTGGCTCCCCCATCTGCCCTCTACACGTCGCTCAACCTGCGGAGGAGTTTTCTTGGATCGCTGGAAGGGTAGTACTCTAGCACAGGGCATGTCTCGCAGGATGTGCGAACGACTTCTCGATATGCATCGGTTCCAGGATCAGCCTACCGATCCCCACGCCTGCATTGAATCCGTTTCGGGCTTCGGTCTCTTTAACCCCGTCTTCACTGGATCTTGAGGATCGGAGTGACGACCTCTGGCTGTCCTCAGAGTTTGCTCGGACATGGGATGCACTCATCAAGTGTCGTCTCGGGTGTCAGGAGGCCTGGAGGACTATAGGATGTCAGAAACAAGTAGCACAGGCGTGCGATAATCTTCCTATACAAATTAAAAATGACTGGGAGAAACAGTGTTGCTACAGATATCGGCTATCAGGGCTTGGCAGTACCGGCAGCACACACGATCTCACGCGTGACACGCAACGCCGCAGCTCTTGAAACAAGTTCATTGTGGGACGGCTGGTTCTGGCTTCATTGCTTCAGTTGCCATCAGGTTCTTCCAAGAAGCTGGGTCGGCTGAATGAAATCATGGTTCACGCCGAGGGACATGTGAACGGCGACCGGGTCCGACTTGCACTGCTTGAGGTTCGTCCGACTCGGGATCCGACCTCACGCAGAAGCTGGATTTGAGCAAGGTATCAATGGGCAGCCATGGCGATTGCGTCAAGTTCAACAGTTCTCGCGAAGCCTGCATCACCACTAGAAGGCAGTGCTGAGGTAGAGCTGTGCATTTTTTGAAGGGCAAGGTCGATCTGTTGAAATGCTTCGAGTAACACGCTTCCGCTCACCCCTCAAAGCTCCGTCACGATACATCTCACATGTCCGACTCTTTCGCAATACTGACCATTCTCAGAAGTCGCCGCAACAGCAGATGCTCCGACAGCCAAGTGGCCTCTCGTTTCTGGAATCTGCAAAGGAAGTTCGACGTGAGGAGCGAGGCTGCACAGCCTTGTCTACTGCAAGTGATTGCGGCAGGCCCCATGAAACGTCGTTGCAAGTAGGGGCTGTGGGTCCTGCTGCCCAAGCCACGAAGCTCGGCTTCTTCGGCTTCAGCCGGATGGGCTCCGACAGCCGACCGCTGGGGCGCGGCGCTTCGGAGCGTGGCTTCTCCGGCATCTGCAGCTGCGGCTCTGATTGGCGATCCCGCATCACCGTCTCGTGTGGAAGCGAGATTTTTGCCTGGCACCGGTGAGGACCCTACGAGTAGCAAGTTTTGGAGCACCATTAGAGTGTTCGTATTCTTATGTAGTATTGGTCTATAAGACCAAAACCGGGAGTGGAGACTCTTCGTTTGTCGGCGCCTGCACTTCCTCCTCCACATCCTGCACTGCGATCTTGGGAGAATCCTCAACTTGGCTTTCAACACCTCGGTTTACGGATTTAGGGGTTGCGGGTCCAGGGGTTCAGGGTTGATTCCGAGCATTTGATGAATCCAGAACATTTCGCTTATCTGAGTCCGAAGCCGAAGCTGCGGCGGGTTGCATGATTCATCCACATCTTCGACCGCCGAGCACATCCTCGAGACAAGATGCCAGAGCAGCAAAATTGTGATATGGGGTGTCCCCAGCGTGACAATATTTGGGGTCCTTACAATGACCATCCTGCTATTTAGGGTTCTATGCAAGGCTCCCTGATTGCTGAAACTTCCTCATCAGGCACGCGCTAATCTGCGACCATGCCATTGTCTTGTAAGGACACCGAGCTCACGACTGACTTCGTGAAGGTCGCTCTCGTACTGCTCCTGCCCAAACGGATGTTCTCCCGGCTGATGAGGTCTTCGTAGGGGCCGAATACCCTGGCCCCAAAGGTCATTACCCTCTTGATTTTGGAAAACTTGTATAAATCCCGAAAGGCCCGAAAGGCTAATTCTTTGACTGCCGATGTGCACAAGCCTCGTGCATTCAACTCCGATGCTGCCAGCAGACAGACTCTGCTGATTATGCTACTATAGCGGTTTAAATAAGTACCAGTATTATTTGGAGGTTCCTTGTTAGAAGTATAGCATCATATAACCCCAAACCCTATCCCAATTATTAAGGACAGTCTAGTATACCCCCAAAACCCTAGTCTCATTTTTAAGGCCCCCTACATTAAATGTGCATTATCTTCTCCGGGTTCAAGGCTCCCCTGGAACGATGCCCGCAACAACTCCAGAACCACACACAAGTCCGGAACCGTAAACTAAGAACCCTCAGCCCCTAAACCCTAGACCCCACCTTAAACTAACGAAATTCTGCTCACCAAAGGCCTCCACCGATCGCAGGAGCGCCTTGAAGCACTCTCCTCCATCCATGGCGTCAGTATTTCTGATGCTTCTCGGGCATCACGGGTGCTCTATTCACTCTTTTGGAGCCGCCGCTGCAGCGCATGGTGAATGGGTGTGACTAGCAGGTATCTGTTGCTGCTCGTTGCCCACACCTCGTTAGATGCTGCCGGTACCATGCCTCTATTACGACGACTCTACGGTAGGTTGTCACAGACTATGGATTATGGCTACTGCTACCTTTGATATCACAGCTGGTCTACGAACGCTGCGACTACATGCTTGCAAGGAACATGAATGAGTTGGCTGCAATTTTCGAAAGTAGCAGCAGCCAGTAGACATGTGGCGCTTCCGTTGTGAAACAGCTGTGGGATGCTGCGGGGAGGAGGCCTTTGTGGGTGTCGAATGCTATCAGAAGGATGATGCTGATTCTGCAGCCTTCCTGGCAGGAGGTTGAGCTAAGGATAGCCTAGCACATACCTTCTAGCAGCGGTCCTGGGTCACGGAACTCTCAGTAGCAATTGGGGCATGATTAGCAAAAGCAGACATCATACGATCAACAGGGTGATAATGACATCATCAAGAGCAAGTCTTCATTATCGATCACAGCCAGAGGTCAGTATCGTTAAAGCCTGCTGGAAGCTTGTCACTGGAAGATAGCCAGCTTGTTTGGGGCGTGAACAGTATGAACTTGGCATGACTTGCCAGTGGGGTGGGTCAAATGTGCCCAAAGGGGCAAGCTGTGAATCAGCTGGAGATTCGCTCGAAGAGGACACCGTGCTGGAGAAGGAAGATGAGCGCCATCATCAACAACCGTAGCATTTGTTATCAGAAGGAAACAACAGAGCGGTCCCGATCATTCGTGTTGCTGAGACATGCTGCCATATATGATGACATGCAACACATGTGCTATGATTTATTATGTAGTCTATTCCTGCGGAAGACACCGTGATTGGACCTTCTCGCTTTTCACAGGCAGACACCGCCTCTCTGGCCCAACGTCTCGCTGGAGTCAATAGGCTCTAGGGCCTCATGAAACTCCAGTTCGTCGCTGCCGAGGCGGTGGATCTGGGCCTTGCACTGGGCTCGTGAACATTAACCGCAGCCGAGCAGTACCAAAAAACACCCGCCTCCCAGAAACGGCTAAAGCACAGCGCAGCAAGAGCAGGAGAACAAGAAGCAATGACAAGGTGATGATGCTGTAGGGACAAACCACAGCACGACCATAAGAAGAGGTAAATCGGCGGAGCATGCAGCGAGTGACCGACATTGCCCCACTCCTCGTTAGTGCAGCCAATTCTACAAGCAGCCGAAACATACATGTGTGTGTGTGTGTGTATGTATATATATATATATAACCCAAAACATAACATCATACGCCACAATCTGACATAACAAAGGACTGCACTTTCACCCCTGTCGGCCCTTCACATTCGCGAAACAGACTCCAGGGTATAACGCGCTCTAAATAATGTTCTTCAAGCTACAGCGGACTCTCGACGTGCTCTCACCGTCCTACCCAGCCCGCCTCTGGGACGAAGCGCCTCGACCTGAAATTCCGGTGCTCCAGATCCGGCGGCCGGCGGGGCGGCGGAGCCGCGGAGAAATGAGGGGAGCCGGTACCTTGGTCGGAGTTCTCTTCTTCTTTGTCTCAATCCAGCTTTTTTTGTTTCTCTGCATCCTACAAACCGGGGTGCCCTAATACCCGAAACCTAGATGTAGTTAAATCAACCCAAATACCCCAATACCCTGAACACTGATGCCCAAACCCCAAACCCCGAAACCCTAAACCCCTGAACCCTAAGCCTAACTACCTAAAACCCCTAACCCCTGAAGCAACTCAGCTTGGCGACTCTTTGGCGGCTCAAGGCTCACCGGGGCTTCGTCCGGGATGCTGGCATCCATCCGGCTGAAACCTCTTTTCTTAGGGCTTGGGTTTAGGGTTCTGGGTTGGGGGTGTAGGTTTCTTTTGAGTTCAGCGTTTAGCCTTCTAAGGGTTTAGGGGCTTCAGGTCGTCTATTTTTGATCACGTCTTTTCGTTCCGCATGGGTTTAGGGGTTGGGTTTCAGATGGGAGTCTTCAGCGTTGGCTCGTGCATGGTGATCAGTAATTCGTGCTCTTTCTAGGACTTTCGACTCATGGTGTGTATATCTATATATATATATATATGTATATATATATATGTATATACATAGCAACAACTCGATATTCCTTGATACTGCCTGAGCCTGTACGAGGCGCTCGAGTCACAGTTGCGCAGACCACTTGACGAAAGGTGCCCACCGCCTTGCCCAGTCTGGCAGCAAATAATTAAAGCGGAGCAGCCCCAGGCCTTTTAACCCAAACAGTTGTACCCAAGTATCAACATACATCAGAAATTGGCGAGCCTTTGGTATCTTGCCTACTACACAACACAAAGCTCTTGTACAGCAGCGCCCATCTCAAGGGCTCTGGCTTTCCCTGGCATTCCCTGGCTGCACTCTTGGCATCGCCTATACTATGTGGATTGATCTGACCCGGCGGAACTTCTTCTTTGCCGCGGAGTGGCTGCGCGTGAGGCTGAGCCGCAGCCGGTCTGGCAATGGATATGAGCGGCAAGGAACTAGTAGCATTAGCTCCGGAGCATCCATGTTCCCGCCAACCGCTGCTGGCAGCATTCTTTTCGATGTTCATGGGGTTAGTCGGTCAGTCTTCCGGGCATCAGTTTCGGCTGAAGCATCAAATGTAGCTGGGGTGAAAGTAGTAGTCGTCGTCGTTGTTTGAATAGTAGCAGGTAGTAACAGTAGCAGGAGCTGTCGTAGTATTAGTAGTAGTAGTAGTAGTAGTAGTAGCAGGACTAGTAGCAGCACTAGTAGTAGTAGCAGTAGTAGTCGTCGTCGTCGTAGCAGCAGCAGGAGGACGAGTGGTTGTAGCAGCAGCAGCAGTAATGGCGATAGTAGTTAACAAAAGCACTGTTATATTTTAGCAGTAGAAGAAGATATTCGACATTGTTGCGCCTCCAACAGCATCGAACCACTGCGACCCTGAGCGCGACAGTTTCGTCGCAGGGGCATTGGCGGCGCCATGAGCCTCATTGTAGTAGTGGGTGCAAACATGTCGCAGACTGTTGTATCCTGCACTGCACTCATATATGACATAAATAACATGTAATGCATATTATATTACATGAAGGACATGGATGCAAACATTACATACACCACATACATTGCAGACATTACATACACTACAGACATTACAGCACAATGAAACACAACACGCTACAATACAGTACGATACACTGCCATACGGTGCAATACACGGCAGTACACACGGTAATGTAGGGGCCGTAATAATTAGGATAGGATTTTGGGG